ACGGGGTTTTTATTCCCTCGCGGGCCGGGGAAAAAAAACCCCCACGAGAGAGAGGAAATGCCCCCCCTTCCCCCCGAAAATAGGCGGCCAGACAGGCAGGCAACCAGGCCGCCAGAAAGCCAGCCAGTTTCAAATTTTTTTCCCCCCCCCCCCCCCCTTAAGTTTTGGGGGGAATTTAAAGGGGGGGGGGGGGGGGGGGGGGAAAGGGGGGGGTCGATGTGCTGGGACCGATCAAATCTGTTTTGGTACCCTCCACCCCTCTATTCTTCCCGAGGGGGGGCCCGGTTTTCCTCTTCCTTTTTTTCCGCCCCGAGGATTGCACCCCTTGTGTTTTTTCCTAAAATATTTTTTTCCCCCCCGTGATGGGGGGTGTACAATGTTAACACAATATTCCGGTTTTAAATTTTTATAATGGGGGGAAAAGCCCCCCCTCCCCCTCCCCCGGGGAAAAAATGTTAATTTTGTGGAGCCATGCCGTCAACATTTATTTACTTGCAGTGAATCTAAATCTTCCAGTTAAAAGACGAACAACAGCTGGTGGTGTTCTGCAATGAACTGTTCTAACACGAGATGCAATAATAAATCCGACTTTTGTTTATTTGTTTTCAATTTCCCTCATGCACGGTGAGGTGCCAGAGGTGGGTGATATGCTGCCGATGACACGATTTGCTGAGCAAGTCACCAGAATGCTTTTTTTTCTGAGAACGTTCTCTGCTCTGATTCTGAGCACTTTGAGGACTCTCAGTCTCAGTTAAAAAGTGCTAAAACAAATCAACTGAAGCGTGGCAACATAGCCATACAGTTGTGTTATTCAGTGTGCCTAATTGAACTAATTCTCCACGCACTCAAGAAAGAAACAAACCATCCCAAGAAAAAGGACTATTATTGTGCTAACGAAAGGCCCTTGCTTTTTACAACATGAACATTTCTCAAGCTCAAACGTCATTTTTACGGGTAAAAAATTCTTTGTTTTTGCAGTTCATCTGATCTGCATTGTGTCAAAGTGGGCGTAAAATACACCTACATAAAAAAAAAAAAATCATTGCTATGAAGTATGGAGCGAAATCAGCTCTTTTCAGTTTCGCTGGCCTCTGAGACTGTTTCGTTCATACGTCTGAAGATATCGCAGTTTTATGCTATTAAACATTAAAACTATAATGCATTCACACCTACACATCGAAGAAAATTGAAACATTTATGAGTCTTTCCCCGATTGATGTCACCCCCCCCCCCCCAACTGAACTCACAAAATGTGTTGTTAAAGGGATGCAACTACAAGGTTCTCGGCCTTGAGTATAATTCATTTTGTTATCTCCCATGACCATTACATTTTCTTTACATTGGCAATGTGGGAAAGAAAGATTAATGGTCATGTTTATTCTATTTTTGTCTTTGTTCTTGTTGGCTTTTCAGGGGGTT